AGGGAAATGCTTGATAAATAATAAATAGACCACTGCCGGATGTTGCTTAGAATCATCTTTTAATTAAAAGAACTGAGCAACCAGAAGGTCGGGTGACTGACATTTAAGTTGGAGTCCAGGAAAAGCATCCATCGAGGGTAAAACCATACCCAAAATGTATTTTTACTATCAGCTAGCATTCAACAGAAATCCTCTCTGTAAGGATGGCAGGTTGGTGGTGGTGGTGGTGGCAGCAGCATTTCGTAGAGGATGTAACACTTAACTCACTGCCTCCTTCGCCTTCCCCTGGCAACCTTTTCCTTTTCATGCTGCGGCAAGAGCCACTTGTCTGGTTCAGCATCTGCACAGAAACCGCTTCAGTGCTGGGCTCATCCAATCAGAGACCTGCTTGCCACATTGAGCACTATCTAGCAGCGACAGGAAAGCCATTTCCTGGCCCTTCCTCAGGAGGGCAGATGCCCTTCCTCTGCCAGCCAAGGTGACCTCAACCAAGTTGCTCACTGAACCTGCTCACCTGCTCAGATCTCTCTGACCTCACTAAGCACCATCCAAGGCTCAAAACACCTTCCTGATCTGGCCAGTCAGCCCTCTACTTTCTGGCTGTTCTGGAATAGGGCTCAAGAACATAGGGCCCAGGGACAGAGTAACAGCTCAACCCCCTTACATGACTTACCTCTTCTTGTTCCGAGCTCCACTGTCCTCCAGCCAAGGCAATGCCAGCTTGCTTTCACTATTAGCATCCCATCATGTCATATTTCCTCACCCCCATGTAGTCAGTAAAACTGCCAGCCCAGTGCCTAATCCAGATTGGCCATAGAACTAAGAAGGATGGATTAGGCTGGAAAAATCCAGCATGCCACACTTGAATGACTTATCATCCTACTCGAACAACTTTGTTTTGTTTTTTTCTAAAGAAACAGAAAACTGTTGAACGTTTTTAAGTGACAAAACCAAAAAACAAGCTCACTGTTGTCTAGTCGATTCAACTCATAGCGACCCCTCCTTGGGTTTCTGAAGTGGTATCTCTACAGAAGTAGATTGCCCAATCTTCCTTCCGAGGAGTGGCTGGTGGGTTTGAAGCACCAGCCTTCTAGTTAGCAGTCAAATGCCTTAGGCACTATGCCACCAGAGTATATATAGAGAAAGGATTCATTCTGACAAAATCAGGAGTCCTCTAGGGGCACAGATTATTCTGCAATACCACTTTCATTACCAGAGAACTTGACACTGTTCTCAGTATCAGTCAAGATTACAAAAAGAATTGGGCTGGCCGTTTAAGAACAAGCTAGCGAGGACTGGGTCCACACCGACAAGAGCAAAGGGAGAATGCTGTTAGTATCGGATGGAAACAGGACCACTTAAACAAGCCTTGCCGTTTAGATGGTGGGAGATGTGGACTCAGTCCTTCTGGCTCTCTACCTCCTCCTGTCCTTTACCTGAGAGCATTAACCTAGCCCAGCCTCTGACATTCTGGTCTCACTACTCCCCCTTGAATGACTCATTCTCCTAACTCCAATCTGACCCCTGTACTAGGATTTTCTCTCCCCCAGATACCTGTCCCACATGTCCGCCATGTGAATGTCGCACACTGAGAACTGAAGTCCTCTTCAATGGGAACATCAGTTCGTTTTCCTCACTATGTTGTCTTTGTAAGTGATGCTGCTATTCTTCTGGTCACTCACATTTATAATTCTGGAATTGCCTGCCTCCTCTTTGGTCTCTCTAATGTGTCTTCTCTTCCCTCCCTCCCTGCCCACTCCCTTAACACTGTTCCTTAAGGCACTTCTAGGTTAAATCTTCCTTAAACCAGACACTGCTTCACCAAGTGCCTTCCTTGCTCAACAAGTTCCCCATATCCCACTCAATCTGCTGTGTAGTTTTCAAGGCCACCAGGATCTGATTCCATCCTATTTGCTCAAACTTACTTTCCACAACACCTCAAAATACTAACAATGTGTCTGCCATATATATGATGAATGAGCGTTCATTCCTTCAATTAATCCTCACGATACTAACTGGAAGCTGAACAGGTAAACATTATCCCTATTCCACAAGTTGAGAGACTGTGACGGGTACAAGGCCACACCAGTCCAAACTAGAACCCTGACCTCTGAACTGTAAACTTCACTGTCACCTGGACATGTGTCTTCCTCCTCTTCAGTGCAGCAAACCCACATGGTCTATTTCCTGAAAGCCACTGTCCAGTGCTTCAGCAGATACAAGGCAGAGTAAGTTTTTGCCTTTGTTTGCATTCTTAGTAGAGAATTCACCACCTGAGTGTAAGGCCACAATAGATAAGGCAGGTATACAAGCAGCTGCCAAGAAAACCCTATGGAGCAGGGGAACAAATGGCATCACCATGAATCAGAAACGACTTAATGGCAATGGGTACAAGCAACAGACAAGACACAAACTACAGTAAGGTGCCTTGGGAGTGCAGTCCAGGAAGAGAGCTTAGTAAGGGACTTGACACTTGATCTGAACATTAGGTAAAGTTTCTAAGCAGAGAAGTCATTCGACAGGGCAGAGAAGGTGCGATTTCTGAAGACAACCGTGGCAGGGAGGACACCCCAGCAGCAGCGGCAGGTCCACTGCAGCACCCCACCCTTCAATGCTCTCCCTGCAGTCCTCCCAGACCAGTCCAGCACTGACCTCACTACCCCTGAACATCTTATACTTTTATATCTTAATTTAAAAGAATTCCTGTTTAGCTTATTGCTTTCCAAGTCATTCATCTTCCCAACTAGATTTTAAGCTCCTCAAAGGCAAGAGTGAGGTCTATTCTCTCCAACACTGTAGGAAACTGACTAGGGAGAATTCCTCAAGTAAGGGCCATATTTTCCCGTGTTTTGATGCTGAGATTTAGCCTAAAGAAGCCATGGACGGTGGCTTTTTTCTGCTCTGTACAGAGGCTCTCTTCCGTCCACCAGGCATAGGCCCTCCTCATGACAGTCCCAGTCTGGTATAACAAGACTGGAATGCCCTGACGAGTACTCTGAGGGGAAACGGGCATTCTCACACATGGCTGGCTACGGGGGATATAACTTAGTACAATTTATATAGAGGATAGCATGACACTATCTATTAAAGTTTAAGATGAGCTATTCCTTGATCCAGGGAGCTCTAACAGCACAGTGGTTAAAGCATTCAACTGCAAACCCAAAGATCAGTGGTTTGAACCCACCAGCCATTCTGCAGGAGAAAGAGGAGGCAGTCTGCTTCCGTAAGACTCACGGCCTTGGACACCTTAGGGGGCCATTCTACCCTGTCCTACAGGGTCACTATGAGTCAGAATGACTTGATGGCAGTGGTTGTGGTATTTCTTGACCTAGCAGTACCACTTCCAAGAACGCATCCAACAGCTGTACTGGCTCATTTTCAGCATAGTAAAACACAGGAACAGCACTTTCATCAACTGGCACTGGATAGATCATGATGCATACATACAGGCTAACTGGAAAAACAAGGTAGAGGACAGTATGCACAGCGTTCCACACACATGCACAAAACCTCTCCGGAGAGCCACACAAGGATATGCGGATGGTGGTAGACTTGGGGGTAGGAAACTGGAGGGAGATTGACTTTTCACCTTTAAATTTTGAACCATGTATAATTTTTTTTAAGAATTATATAACAATTAACTTTTTAAAAGAAGTCTTCATCATTGTGGTAAAGAAATTGCTTTTAAAAAACCCAGGAACATAATGACTTCCGATTGTTCTTTTAAGAACAGGAACTGTCTCCTCTACCTTGTTAGTTCCCCTGTCCAAGGTCGGCCCAGTTTGTGGCACTCCATGGTTGGCTTATGTTTTCTGAATGGATGAAATTTACTTCCTCAAACAACAGGAATTTTAAAGCAGTGATACAGGTGGGAGGAGACCAGCATGGCTGAGAACTCCTTTTGCTGCAAGTATTCATTCACCTGTCACAGTAAGGCTATGAGATAGGACCCGGCTCCTCCAGTCCACCAGGAGAGAAAGAAGACTGTTCATAGAGAACAGTGTAGAAAAGCTTCAAGAGTTTTAATTCAAGGAATTTCTAAAGTGGTTTATTACTCGTAGCTGAAGATCGTTGTCTTGATCACAAATATAAAAGCTACAACCTCAGGAGAGTATGTCATTTACTCAGTAGAAGATACAGCAACGAGGAAGGCAGCTGAGGAGGGCGTGTAAGCACCTCAGCACCAGGGAGGCAGGTGGACACTGGGCAGAGAGTGTCGCTGAAAGTCGCTGCCGCCCCTCTCGGCAATCAAATTACCTACAGAGATGCCATCTGAATCAGTCTTTAGCTGGACTTAAGGCTTCATTCATTCGTTCAACAAATATTTGCTCAACAGCCTACTAACTATATATAGGCCTGAAATATTTGCTCAACAGCCTATTATGTGTGGGCCTGGGTTAAACTGTCTCCAGCAAAATGAATCCGTGAGATTGAAGTTGTAGTTTTAGCCTTTGTCCATCATCAATGATAGGTCCCTATTCTTACTACCAACCACAAGCCAGCTTGGCCTCTCAAGTTTAAGGTCAATAGTTCTATAGAAAAAGTACAAAAATTATCTGCAGAGAAAAATGGTTGGCTAAGGAACCAGACATATGTGCAAGTAAACGTCTGATGGATCTAGAGTAAGAAACACAGCAGAGAATCAAATATAGCCAGCCCACACGCTAACATAAATATCCAAGCAAACCTACTCAGAATGAGTCCCACTCAAACATTATTTATAAAAGTTTTTCATGTTATTTATAATGTCAAAGACAATTTACTCTATAAGCAGCTAGGGAATTCTTTATTTAATAGTATCCTAACATAAAATTTCACAAAACTGCTTTTTTCAAACCGTAAGACTGAGCTTTATGACAAGCCAAAAACAGGAACTAAGAGAAGGCAAACATAATGCCTTAGAGATTAAGAAATATTTACACAGTTCAGCTGTTAAAAATAGTTCAGCACTCATCTAATGAATACAGTTTGGGTGTCAGTATACATGGTATACAAGTCCTTCAGGGAGGAGAGAGACCTTTCAACTGCTCTTCAGACGCTTCCAAACGCTGCTCCTGTGGAACCTTCTGAGGCTGGTTTTCTTCCAACATAGTCTGGGGCTTGAGGGTTGTGTGTTCAGATCTCCAGGAAACATGACCGCCTTCCTGTTGTTTAAAAGAACAGATACAAGTACAACACACAAAGGTTACCATTTTCAATCACGTGACTATGCACATTCGGTCACTGGGTTAAAAATTTAACTTTAATATCTCAGGTCAACTTCTATTATAACCACAACAGAATAATAATAAAATGCAATAATCTCTGTAGAACCACAACTTCAAAAGCCCTGATGACACTCACCACGGGCTCAAGTATAGCAACACTTGTGAGGATGGCATGGGAAGGGACAGTGTTTCGTTCTGTTGTACATAAGGTCACTGCCGAGTCAGAACTGACTCGATGGCACATAACAACATCAAATAATAGTCACTTGTTCCAAGTAGCCATCCGGTCCACAAAATTCCAGTCTATTCAATCTAACAGGATTTGATCTGGAGTTTAAGAACATGAGCCAAAGGTGGGGAAGGAAAGCCAAGCCTTCCTTTAACATCTGACAAACGGGCAACTAATCCTCATAACAATTTTAATAATACTCACGGTCCTTGCTTCTCCTAGTCGTCTTAAAATGACACCTTCTGCCAATAAAGCCTTCCCTGTTTCCACAAATAACTTCTCTTCGTCCGTCTCTCCGAGTTTCTGAAACTCAATGTACTTCTCCACAAACCTGGAACTCCAAGCAGTCACATCTTAGTTCTGTGTATTTTGAGTTGTCAAGTAATGCTATTACACCATTATAAACTTTCCCTTAACAGATCTTCCTGTATTACTGTTGTGTGCCACAGAGTCGATTCCAACTCACAAGTGGATTTCAACACAACTCCTCAAACTGGTAAATTCTTTAAAAAGAAAAAGTAACCCAGGATTTGTAAAATCACTTACCGTTGACAAGTAGATTTAAAGTTTGGATTGAACAGATCAAAAGCTTTTTGACCAGATCCATAGGCTGAATAAAACTTCCTAGAAAATGCAAACACCACAATATAAATCTCCAATTATATATCATGGCCAAGAACTGAATGTAAGAAAACATTGTTTGGCCCTGAGGAGTTAAGTATAGCATGACCCATACATCCTAAGCCTGACAGTTTTTCTTTTAATAAGTAATGTGTGCACAGAGTAAATGCATCAAATAGTACAAAAGGGTGTCCAGCCAAAAGTAAGACTCTCTCCTACCTCTATATCCCAACCCCTCAGTTTCCCTCCCAAGAAGCAAACACTAACCAGTCTGTGTATCCATCCAGAAATATTCTAGTAATATGTAAGCATTTTTGGTGATGTAGTGGTTAAGGCATTTGGCTGCTAACCAGAGGTCGACAGTTCAAACGCAGCAGCTGCTCCACAGAAGAAAGATGAGGCAGTCTGCTTCCGTGAAGATTTATAGCCTTGGAAACCCAACGGGGGTTGCTGTGTTGGAATCAACTTGATGACAGTCAGGTTTTTTTGGACATAAGCATATATGCATATATCATTCTGTCCTCAGCCACAGATAGTATTCTGTACTGTTCCACATCTTGCCTTTTTACTTAACATTTGAAATCAGTGCAGAGATTGTCTCCGGCCCTTTGCTACTCTAGACCATGCTGTAACAAGTGTCCTTGTCTATACTTTTTAGTGCAACTATGCAAATAAGTCTGTGGAATAAATTGCTAAAAGTGGTTTCATTGCCTCAAAAGGTATGTACATTTGTAATTTGCCTTTCTAATGGCCAGACTGCTTTCCAAAGCAGTTGTATTAATTTACACTCAAGCCAGTAAAGTATGCGAGTGTCTACTTCCCCATACTCACTAATGTTGTATTTTCCAGCATTTTTGATCTTTGTCAATTTGACAGATGAAAAATAACTCATTGTAGTTTTAATATGTATTTTTATTTTACAAGAAGTTGAACATCTTTTCTTGTTCAGAAGCAAACTGAATTTCCTTTTCTGTGAACATCTGAATATTCACGCTTTTCATCCATTTTTCTATTTGGTCACGTTTTTCCTACTGATTTACAAGCAAATTTTATAGCAGTATAAATAGGAAATTTGCTCTTTAACATACATGTTACAAAAGTTTTTCCCAGTTTGTTGGCTGTTATCTTCTTTTTTAAGTTTTACTGTGATTAAAGTGAAAGTTTACAGAGTAAATTAGTTTTCCATTCTGTTGGCTGTCTTTTCATTTTGTTTACAGTACTTTTCCATATTGCAAATTTTATTTTTTTTCTTATGGCTTTTAGGTTTTACGTCATGTTTAGAAAAGCCTTTATCTCTCAGATTATTTTTCAAATTCTCCCATGTTTTCTCCTAGTCCTTTTATAATTTCATTTTTTACATTTCAGTTTTGATCCATCTGGAATTTATTTTTATAGAAATTCTTTAAAATATCAAAAACAATCCCTCTCCTACAAAAAAAGGGAGGAAAAAAGCCACTAAGATAAAGGTTCAAAGAACTAAACAAATACAAGATGTTATTATTTTGGCATTAGGGGTCGCTATGAGTCAGGGCTGATTCAATGGCACATAGCAACAACAACAGTACCAATAGAGAGCCCTGGTGGCACAGGTTACTAACCAAAAGGTTGGGGTGAACCCACCCACCGGCCACTCCACAGGCAATAGATGAGGCAGTCCGCTTTCTTAAAGATTACAGCCTCGGAAACCCTCTGGGGCAGTTCTACCCTGTCCTATAAGGTCGCTATGAGTTGGAATCAACTCAATGGCAAGTGGGTCAACGTACCAATAGTAATATTCAACCAGACAGCAGCAGCAATAAAATATCCCATTCAATAACCTATCATCCAATTGCACTGTAAACCTCATAGTAGAAGCACAAATGGCTTTAATGTGTAAGTAAACCTCAAAAGCATACTGACCAAGTACAAGCAGAGGAAGTAGATAGTGGTGAAAAAGCATTTAATGCCTCAGAGATCTCAAGGCCTCCTCTGAAACTTTCTAAGTAGAGCAAAAACGTATTATCTTCTCCTACCTCAAAGGAGTGTTGTGAAGAAAAAGATTCCTCAAAGAACAGATGTCTGGACCTCAACAGAGAATGTAAAGATTTTTATAAAAACCCACTTTCTTACAGCAAGGAACAGCAGCAAGAATAAGGGATATGCTTGAGGCGAACACAACCAATGTCACAAAACAAGCTGGGTATAAATTACTGAATGGGAAATTATGTTGCTCTGTAAAATTTCACCTAAATCACAATAAGGTGTTATTTAAAAAAAAAAAAAGAAAAAGGGATATCACTAAACAACTTAAAGCTACGAATATACATAACAAGTTTGGAGGGAAAAAACCCTTACTAATACACTGAATTTTCCTCAAATAACACCCTTTGAACACACCCAGGTTTCCCCTTTGTTGAAAGAAGGAAAAAAAAATATTATACGCTGCCTTCCCCCTTCTAGCTAGTTAGGATCTCTTCTCTTTTCTTTGCTGCCAAATTTCTAGAATGAGCGGGTCTGTGCAGAGAGCCTCAATTTCCTACCCACCCACTCTCTCCTTACACCCATCACTGCTGAGTCAATTCCAACTCATAGCAACTCTGTAGGACAGAGTAGAACTGCCCTATAGCGTTTCCAAGGTCACAATCTTTGCAAAATCAGACTGCAACACCTTTCTCCCACAGAACAGTTAGTAGTTTAAACACCTGACCCTTAGGTAAGCAGCCAACGCACCACCAGGGCACCTTTCTCTCTCCTTAGTCCTGGCAATCTTTCTGTTCCTACACATTTCTATTCAAACAGCAATTCTGAACATCATTTGCCCCATGCCAGGAGCTCTGGTGGCACAGTGATTAAAGCATTCAGCAACTACCCAAAAGGTCGACAGTTCAAACCCACCAGCTGTTCCACGGGAGAAAGGTGAGGCAGTTTGCTTCTGTAAATGTTTACCATCTTGGAAACACAATGGGGCAGTTCTACTCTGCTACAGGGTTACTATGAGCCAAAATCACCTTGATGGCAGTGGCTTTATTTATTTATTTTTGTCTGCCCCTTTCTAGTCAAACTTTAACCCTTTCCTTAATGCTTATGGTCCTGGATTGCTCAGCATTTGACACTATTAATCATTTTCCTCTCCTAAAGCCCATTCCTTAACCTGAACCACTACACCTTGTCTCCTTCCTTGTCTTCTCTGCCTACTTGTCTTTCTGCAAGCCTGCCTTTCTCCTTAGGCACCTTACTGTAGGTGCTCCTCAAAGGCTCACCTGCTCTTCTTTCTCTTTACTCCTCTCATCTTTCTCCCCCACCCTAATTAAAAAATTAAAAGAATGAGCAATGTACACTAACTTCAATTAGACACAATCTCCGGTCTTAACACTTATGAGAAAAGGAACTATATAAATTTCATGCACTAAAAAATAAGTGGCATCAGTATTTGAGGATAAAGGCTTTTTCAGTAAATGCTGAGTGAGTGATTTACCACCTACTTGGAACCCAGATACTTGGAGCCATAGAGATGTGGAAAAAAACAAACCAAACTAAACTCACTGCCATCAAGTCAATTCCAACTCATTAGCAACGCCCTCTGGGTTTCCGAGGAGGTAAATCTTTATGGAAGCAGATTGCCCAGTCTTCCTTACGCAGAGTGCCTGGTGGGTTTGAACCGCCAACCTTCTGGTTAGCAGTCAAATGCCTTAGGCACTATACCACCAGAGCTCCTCAGAGATGTGGAAAGGGAGGCTAAATAGGCCCACAGAAGTGGTTTCCAATCCAATGTTCCAGAAGCTGTTTGAAGGAACTAACAAAACTCTGAGGGCTATCTAATCAAAAGATTAGATAGGAACCTCAGGGGGCAGTGAATTTATGTTAATGGAGGAGGAACAACTCAGAAAAGGAGGGTAAGAACGGTTGCACAACTTGAAGAATGTACTCAACATCACTGAATTATACACAGAGAAATAGTCAAACTGGTGTATGTTTTGCTGTGGATATTCTCGACAACAACCACAAAAAAAAAAAGATTAAAAAAAAAACAAAACTCTGATGGTCATTCTCCAAACAGCCTCATCCTGGCTGTTAATTTTCTCTTATTCCTCCCTCTACTATCCTTATGGTTCATCCATTCATTAATTCATCAACTTCTTCACTGAAGAGAAAATGAGCAACTTTCATGCTAAACATTAGACTAGGCAATGAAGTTACAGGAATGAATATGATTGTGCCTGGTTCGTGGTAGTGCTTACCACAGAAATAATGGTTAACATTTACTGATGGCTTACTTTGTGCCAGGCACTAGACACCTTTAGCACCATGAAGTACTATCATTGCTGTATTTTACTGTGTGAAAACTGAAGTTTACAGGGGTAATTTGCCCAACATCACACAGCTGATAAGCAGCAGAGCCTGACTTCAAACTATTATGTGTGACTTGTGCTTTCTTCTTTCTGCTTTTCCTTTGTTTCTAAATTTCCTACAATTATAATGTCTTAGTTTATAATAAAAGAGAAAATACACGCTAAATCACACATGCTACAGAAATTTTAAAAACCGAGTACTTCCCCTCAAATAATGAAGATGATTTTTAAATCCCTTCGACTTGTAAGCCTGATGTCTGAAGTGGCATCAAAGATCCCAACTAATGGCTCCATAGCTCATGTTCCTAGCTCCTCCCAGACAAGGCAGTCCACATGGACCAGCATGAGCCTGGAGCCAGAGATGTGACCCGAGGTCTGCCACCCTCCTGTGCAGCCACTCTAAGTTAGTTAACCTCCCTGAGCCTCACAACCCCCTGGAAGCAAAGCTACCTACCCTGCAGGATTAACACGTAAATGCGATTAATGTTTGTAAAGGGCTTGGCACAATAGCAGGCACAGAGCAAGTGCTCAAATACTGGCAGCTATAATTGCAACAACCTCTGTCAGTCCCAGGGCTTCAGGTTCTTCTTCTCAGAACTTCTCTCATCATGGGTTGGGAGCCACATGTAAGATCTTCTCCATCCAACAAGCCCCTGACTCAACTCCTTATTGAAGTTACCAGAGTGCTAACTAAACCTTTCCTTCTGAAATTCAGCTGCCTCCTCCTGTCCACCTCATGGGCTGCACAGACACTCACGCTCTAATCCGGTCCTCGTGGTAGAAGATGTCCTGGATGTTGGCTTTGGCTTTGCCGTATCGTAAGCGGGGCCTTTGGAAGACTGGCTCCCTCAGCGGGGGGAAGGCGTTATATACGTCAAACCAGAGAGGCTTCTTCTTCAACACCCCAGCCCGAATAAGGTCCCGAGTCCTTAAGGAAAAGGAAAGAACGAAGGTCAGTTACAATGGCTTGCCAAAGGCCTTGGATCAGTCTGAAACTTCAGAAGGATCTCCCAGGCCGTAACATACGACAGGAAGGAGCGCGAAGTAGGTGTGTTCCCCACCCACAGGAAAGACATTTCCACATACCAAGCCAACCTAACAATGCCCCACAGTTAAGTTTCGTCTCCTCCATGTGCGTCCCGCCTTCACCCCACCCTCCCATTCCGTCAGGAAAATGCAAGGACGGTCTAGCCGGGCCCATCGCCTCTTCCAGTTTTCTTCCCGGAAGCCTGCAGCTGGGGAAGGGGTGCAATTTTTACTGTAACCAATAAGAAATTTAAGGGAAGACCTCCGTCGTCAAGCACAATTATTCAGAGCCAGGAGAGAGCACGAGAGAGGGCCTCTCCCAGTTCTTACACCCGCACCTTGGAGAATGCCTCACCCTGCTCAGACCCACCCAAGGAAAAGCGTGACATGCTAAGAACTCTACGCTTCCTGCACTCACCGCGAGAAGATGCTCCCCACGGTTTCCAGCCGGCTCCCAGCCATGACCGGCACCTGGACTGAACCCGACTAGCCGCTACCGGAACAGGAAACGACAGGTAAAGGGGGCATAAGTTGCTGGCCGAGCAGATGATTGCTACACTTACACCATAACCTTCAAGGGGAGAGGGGAGCCAGGAAGAAGCAGGGGATGGGCCGAACTGGCGCGCTACTGGGCTACTTGCCAGGTTCAGGCAGGAACACTCGATCGCAGAGCCGAAAGAGAGGGAATGAGCCAAAACCGGACAAGAGTAATAGATGACCGATCTAAGAGAGGGATTAATTATAGTGGCTGCTTCAACCTTTACTGCTTTATTGAGACAGCGCCTCTTGAAAAACGGGGACGGTGCGAGAGAAAGATTATGAGGGAGACCGAGGTGCAGTGCAGCCTGCCGGCCTGAAGGAACCAAACAGGCCATATTAAGGTAGAGATTTGAGGGCACCAACTCTAGGCCCAGGTTGAGCCTAATTTTGGTCACAGACTCTACGCAGAAGGAAACTGAGGCCCAGGGAGGGGCAGTCACTTGCCTAATGTCACACTAGACCCTAGGCCTCCTCTCTTCCTCCTGCTTCTGCCGGTTAGCTCTCCCTCCACTAAACCATTTAGCCCTCGGGATGCTGCTAGCAACTTGGGGGTTCTCAGCGGGAGGCAGCTGGCTATCTACTCCTTGGAGCATGAAACATGAAAGTATCCGGAGCAGTTTCCGAGGAGGAAACTCAAAACTCTGGGGAAAGTAACCAACCTTCGATAATTGTTAAAAAGTGAAATGTGCAGTTACCTCCGACCCGGTTGTTGTACTTTGGATAAAGTAACCCATAAAAATTAAAGCACAGTTTCATGAGGATATTTTGTGGAAGGACATTCCTTGTATCATCGTTTGTAATGACAAAAAAAGTGTCCGTGAATGGGAAGTAGAGAACAGGGCTTCCGAACCAGTTCACTGTGGTTCTTGTGTATACTTAACATTCACCTTGGATCTTGTTAATATTAGATTCTGAGTCAGTATTCTGGGGTGGAAATGCAAATTCTCAGCAGGGGTTGGAACCGGAATGAACTAGTTCAAAGCCTTGCAGGAAAATTATGGTTCATGGAAGACGCTCTAGTGGTGCAGTGGTTAAGCGCTCCCCTGGAATTCACCAGCCCCTCTGCAGAGGAAAGATGTGGCAGTCTGCTTCTATAAAGATTCACATACAGCCTGGGAAACAAACACTATATGTCAATTCTATTCTGTTCAATAAGGTCACTTTGAGTCCACAGCCACTGCACAGCAGGAGGTGGGTAAATTATGTGGAATCCTATGCAGCTATTAAAAGACTTGCGTTAGCTTGATTATGTATTTACCTAGATTATTGCCTAGGACTAATGGTTCAGTGAAAATGGAGATTGCAGAGAAACCCTTTAGTAGGATCCCAATCTGTTTAAAAAAAAAAAAAAAAAAACATCTACATGTGTTTGTGTTTGTGTGAGGACAGAAAACAGTGTGGAAGAACACAAGGTTGTGAACATTGGTTATCTCGAGATGCAACTGCAGAAAAGGAAGGGAGATTTCTCCCTTTTTATATCCTTATATAGACTTTAAATTCTTATTTGAACATTTTACTCCAATGAAATGTGTTGAGTCACACAAAATACCTTGAGAGCCCATTGTAAGATCTAGCCTCAATTCAGCCCAGACTCCTCCCACTCATCTGAGGCTGAGGAGAAGGAAGGAACTGTTTGCTGAGCAGTTACTACTTGTTTGCATTATCTCTGAATCCACACCCCGACCTATAGGTGGCGATTATTGTCCTCATTACGGAGGAGAAAGGCCACAGGGGGTTAAGTCACTGGTCTGATTAGTAATTGGCTGATAGAGCCAGGCTTCTAGCTCTGCCTTGGCCCTTTTCAGACCCCACAATGCTCCCAGACTATGCCTAATGCTAGAAACCAGTGGGCTGAAGGCATCAGGCAAAACTCCTCAAGAGCAGGGGATGATGTCATTTGAGGCCCACGACTACACTGAGAGGTGGGTTTGTCTTAGGGCTCTCCAGAACAGAGAGCACATTGTGGATGTGCTCACTAATCATGGCCCTTTGGGCAAGCTTCATAACTTCTCAATCATCTGTTTCCCCGTTTGTTAAAATGAGGCAGTGTCAACTAACTTGGTGGCTTGTTGTGAGAGTAAAATTGAACGTTTAGTGAAACACTAACCACTGAACTCGGCACATAGTAAATACTTTGTGCCTAAAAACACTGAAAACTTGTGTCCTGTGTCCTGACTGCTCTCTGGGACTGCAGCATTTTGATGGCATTTCAGAGATTGCCTTATTGTTTTATTTTCTTATGAAATGATCCATTCATTCTACAAGCATTTATTAAGCATCTACCCAAGCCTGTGCTGGGTCCTAGAGAAGGTGACCATCCCATGGAGGAAACCGAGGCAAAGAGCTAGGATCAGGAGCAACTCAGAAGCTCTGGTGATGTTGTGATTAAGGCATTTGGCTGCTAACTAGAAGGTTGGCAGTTCAAACCCACCAGCTACTCAGCAGGAGGAAGATGAGGCAATCTACTTCTGTAAAGATTTACAGCCTTGGAAACACAATGGGGGTTGCTATGAGTTGGAATTGATTCCATGGGAGTGAAGTGAGTTTGTTTTTTTTGTTTGTTTGTTTATATAATTGTTGTTGTTGTTATGTGCCCTCAAGTCAGACCCAACTCATAGCGACCCGTCCTTGGGTTTCTGAGGCAGTTATCACTAAGGAAGTAGATTGCCCAA